TCAACAGCAGCAAGCCCTCCAGGTTCCGCTTCCCTACGAGGCCTGAATCCTATAAACAAGATTACCACCCGGCAGACCTTCGGGAAGAAAGACTGACCCCTCCAGTTGATCTGGCTGGCGTCAGGCTTTCTTCAGGCAGCCAGCCTTGACAACAAAGCAGCCTCTTCCAAGCCTGTGCCCACAGTGCCCCCTCGTGGGAGTCTGCAGGAGACTACTTTCATCCGGCCAAAGAGAACGATGGAGGGATCAATTGCACTCTTCCCTGGCTCCGCACAGGTGTCCCCTCCACAGCGCCACAGTCACCTGCCAGGCTGGTTAAAACCCAGGTTGCTGGGCCCCACCCTCACTTTCTGATGGAGTCGCCAGGGTAGGGCCTGGAAATTCACAATTCTAGCTCGTTCCCAGGCGACACTGAAGCTAGCGCCTACAAATACGAGCCCTGCCTTAAATCCTCAAGCACTAAGTCCAGACGGTCCACAAATGTCTCCAGGCTCGTCCGAGAACATCGGAGCTATATAACTGGTCAGCTGCGCAACCTTAACTCCCTGTAAGCCTCAACTTTCTCATCTGCAAAATGAGGATAACAGTACCTCCAAGCGTTTGCAAAAGCTAAATCCTTAGGATAGCTCACAGTATGCCCTGGATGTTATTCCAGTGTGCTGGGGTGTTCGCCTGTGCTTGCACATGTGGCTGCAAGGAGTCTTCAGCTATTTTCCCCTAATGCTCTCTGCCTTATTTTTTGAGACAGAATCCCACTAAACCAGGAGCCCATCGTTTCAGGATAGACTAGCAGGCCCCCAAGATTTGCCTGTCTTTGTTTCTCCAGCACTGGGGTTACAGGCATTGCCTCAGACCCTCATGCTTGCAGAGCAAGCACTTGCCCCACTGAGCCATCTCCCCAGCTCTTCACCTCTATTACTTAATAGTATTACTATTGTTTGCCAGCATCCTGAGAACAAAGGACAAGACCTGGACTTCTCAGAGACAGAAATGAACTTTGTGGATTTTCAGTCCAAACCTGGTAGTTGTTAAAATGTTAGATGCATGAATGTCGCCCATAGGTACCAAGGGCAAACCGGGGCAAGCAGCTGGGCATCTGTTTTAAGAAACCCTCACGGCCCGGGCACGGGAGCTACTCAGCTAGCCTTTGCAAAGGATAGCGGTAGGGAGGTGGAAGCCACATGGCAAGTCCTTTGCTTACAGCTGGCCCCAGCTGGCTGGAAGGGCTGAGGAGCAGAAACCGGTCTCTGGGTTCTGATCCGGCACCCTTTCCCAGCCAGACTGCTTGGATGCCACCTCATCAGCCCCTATCCTGCTGTGCAAATCTCTCAACATGCCTGATGAGCTGTCAGATGGCTCAAGGGTTTTGTTGGAAGAATGCTACATGTGCCAAGGACACTTGATCAACTGCTCAACACGTAATTCTCCACATTTCCTTTAACTTGACCAAAATATTGAAGAAGTCCTTAGCCTGGCACACAAGGTCCTCTTTATACCGTCTCCTGCTGAGCCCACTGGTACCCTAACCCCCACCCAGCCTAGGACATCATAGGTCTGGCATATACAAAGTTTGACAAATGGATGGCAGGGCAGATGAGTGGGTCTCCAGGATCAAAGAGCTCTGCTTTGCTAGCTTAGCTCAAGCAAGTCACACTTCTGTGCTCTTCTGTCAATCTGAAGCGTGTGAAGTGGCATTTCTTCTGATGAACTGCATTGTGCAACCCTATATGAAGCCACCAGTCACAGGGACTCCACCTCAACTCAGGAGAATGTTCTTGGCACAATCTGGAGGCACGCTGCCACGCCCATCCCCTCCCTCCTGCTCCAAGGCACAATGGCTGCTCTCACCTCGGTACAGATATTTAGTCCCATCTGCCATGACTGAATGAGTGCTCTCATTCACCCAAACCAGGTCACGCCACTTGTCTTCATAGTACCTTCCCAGGAGCCTTCAAGGACCCAGCTTCCTGCACCAATTTTGACTGTGGGCTGCCATCACGTCACAACCATGCACTGCCTGCTACTCCAGGGAAGAGAACCAGGCTATGAGATCCTAAGTTTACCTTCCTCTTGGCTTATGCACAGGGACAGCTTTGTCTTACCTCCCCAGGCTCCAGATCCAGGACTGGTGGTGCACATAACTCCGTAAATGGGGAATTTGGTTGGCTGTCTAGTGCCCCTATGGAAAAATGCCACCTCACTGAGCAATAGCGGACAGATAAGCCCTAAGTCATACAGCATTACACACCCAACAGAAAGCAGCCACTGCACACCACCACTCAACTGACCAATACAGGTACTCAGTGATGCTTTGGGGTCAAATGCTGTATGCCAATCCCAGCCCCACCACTTGGTAAGTACCTTGGTAAACTATCTATACCCTCTCCAACATGGAGACACCTGCCTTTTGAATTGCAGACCACTGTCAAAGCTTACAGCACCCGCCTCCGCTTCAAATACGGTGTACAGGTACTCTTAGGGCCAATCAGTATCTGCCTGTGAATAGTAGTCACTGAAACCTGCCTGCTTGCTTGGGCAGAGCCACTATGAACCCAAGGGTGCTGGGGCACGCTCAAAGCTGCACTCGACACTCACTGGAGACACTACTTTTTTGCAGGAGCACATCTAGCCTTGTCACCCTTTGAGGATTCCAGCAGCTGGAGCTCAGCACACCATGCCTACTATGCACAAGGTCCTGAGTTTGACCCCTACAGCCTCTAGGTAGTACCATGCTCAAGGAGTGCGCTCTCGATTTCCTTAGTAAAATTAACTTTGCTCAGCCAGCAGACTGCCAGTTTAGTTACTGTCAGGGCCAAAAGTGCTGCACCCCAAACCTCAAGTTCAGTAGCTCAATTGTAGAATCTAGCTTCCCTAAGCCCTTGCTTCCCACCACAGCTGCCCAGCACTTCAGCCTCTGAACCTCAAATGAGCTTGTGATTCAGGATGGCTGAATAGGTGCCCTTGGAAGTCCCCAGTTTAAAGTTAACCCAAACAAGGAGCCAAGTGAACTCCCAAAACACATCCAGGCAGGCTAGAAACACCATTCAGAGGGGACAGACTCCTTAGGAGGAAAAGTGCAGGCTGCCAACTGTCATGATATAGGAAGGTGGGCCATGCTTTCAAAAGGCTGGAAATGGGTATCTTTATGCAAAATTTGCTGTTTCAAAATGCCATCTGTATCAAAGCTCACAGAGCAGCCAGTGTGACTTAACAGGCAGTTTCTCTTGAAAGCTTGGATCAGTTCATTCATCAGAATTCCTGTATGGAGTACAGGTGGCAGGACTTTCGAATATGCTCCCTGGAGCCCCTAAGGTCTTATGCACACACATATCTTGCAACTCCGATGCCAGCTTGCCGTCAAGCAGCCTGACACCCGGGTCCGTGGAGACTGCCTAGCCCTGACCTTGGCCTACAGCTTCCCTTTCAGTCCTGTGCCAGCCAGCTGGCCCAACACAGGCTGCTCAAACCCTAGCTCACCTATTTCCCACTCCAACCTCTGCCGCTTCTAGTCATCTTGAGCTTCCATACACTGCATGCAATGCCAGCTGCTTTTAACTCCACACAACCCTGTAACCACTCTGGAGAGAGAATGCCAGTTCATAGCCCACTCACACTCTACCAGCAGGCCATCTGATCCTAGCAAGGGGCAGATTCCCCACTGAAGAGAACCGACAAGTCTGTACCCCCAAGCCCAAGTCTGCTGCTACAACAGCTTTACAGCCTTGCCCCAGGAAGGAGTCCCTCATGCTGTCAGGGCCCTTCTGTGTCCAAGACACTGCTTTTGGCAGTCGTATGCATCAATTTCTAATGCCCTTTCCCAAACTCTCCTGCCCAATCAACCAAGTCTACTGCTCCATGTTTCCATCCAGTGTTAATTCCTTTACCAATTAATAAACCTCTAGAGGAAAAAAAAAAAATGCCATTTAAACCCACAGGCTGGGCTATGGCTCACTGTTAAAGCACTCAACTAGTACATGAATGAGGCCACAAGTCCCATCTTTACCAACACAGAAATAGCAAACAAAATTCACATAAGCCATCAGGCCTTCACAGGCTCTGACTCTTACTCCAAAAGGCTGCAACTTAATGCATCTGACTTTATAACCCAGCTGGGGCCCTTAACTGATCTTTCCAACCCCAGAGACTGCTTCTGGCAAAGAAAAGGGTAGTACATTGCTGGACTGGAGAGTATGGGTCAGTGACAGACTACTTGGCCGGCAAGGAAACCCCAGTTCAATCACTAGAGCTGCAAAGAAAATGAACAAATCCAACTTACTTCAAAGTGAAAATGTGATTAAGGCCATCACCTTTTGTTGCCTTTTTTACCCTATGGCAACAGGGACTCCCCCCTCCCCTCCCCCAAGCAACACAATCTTGTCTCAACTGTTGGGATTATAGGAATGTGCCATCACACCACTACGTTGAACTTCAAGTAAGGCCAGAACTTTTAAAACCATTTTATTATTTTCATTTTATGTGTATGAGTGTAATGCTTGCATGTGTGTAAAAGTACCCGTGTCATGCAGTGCCTGTGTGGGTCAGAAGAGGGCATCGGATTCCCCCAGAACTGGAGTTACAGACAGTTGTCAGCTGCCATGTGGGTGCTGGAAATCAAACCTGAGTCCTCTGCAGTGCTCTTAACACCACTCACCCATCTCTCCAGCCCCAAACTTCAAATCTTTTAACTTCTCTTAGAACTACACTAGGGTTTAAGAACACCTGAAGGGATTCAGATGCCACGCGTCTCCTAGAAATGGACCCACAACCAAGACAAATAATGCCAACATCATGCACACCAGAATGGACCTACAATGCTCCCATGGCAGTTACACTCTACCCCTACCACCCTCCTCCTGACACTCACCAACCCATCATGCCAAGCTTTTGCCTAATGTTCAGTGGAACATGTGAAGGTGGGCAGCAATTTCAACCTGCAAAAACACCTAAGTTACCATCAAACATATTAGTATCCCAGTAAGTGTATTTCAAACAAACAGAGGCAAGTTTTTACAGTTTATTAGTCCTCTCTTTAGATATGGGCACACGTCACCATGGCAGACCATGTCACCATGGCAGACCACGTCACTGCAGACTCTTTTACTCCTTTTGCTGTAAATCAAGAAAAGCAAGTTTAGTCAGAAACCTTGAAAAGTTCTAAAGTTCAAAGTCCTCAACAAACTAAAAATAACACTCATGCAGAACAAGTATTAGTAATCTCTAAAAATAGCTACAATTGTGAGGATGAAATTAAACTTACAAACATTCAAGTTAGGAATGAAAATTAAGGAAAACAAGTTAAATGTCACTAAATTTTAAAAAACAAAAACAAATCACTGTTAGTATTTTAAGGTTACAACTGGTACATTTGCAAATCTACTTGTGTTTCACATGCTCTTTCAAAAGCTACATCAGTAACAAGGAATCTAGTGATCTACAGAAGAGCTTGAGTTATACCTGTTATCCAATCTCCAGCTCACTGAATCAGTGGCAGGAAAGGGGAAAAGGAAAGGAGGAAAAACAGTTCATTAGCGGTCCCTTCTCAAACTCCCAAATTCTCTGCATCGAAGTACATGCAAGCAGACCCCATAGACGGCCACTGCTCTCGTACAGAGCATTCCTTTCCCACCACCATGGATGTTCTCCTCCCAACTGAGAGCAGTCTGTTTGATTACTGAGGCTCTACTGGTGGCATGGTGACTGCAGAATGCCAGTGTGGTACCGGACCCAGGTAGATGACTGTAGATGCAGTAGGCATTCCTGCACCCGGGCCTCTCGGCTCTAGGTCTCATGCTGGGCACAGAATACAACCCAGACTTGGGATCACTACAGACCCCAGTGGGAGAACTAGTAAGTATCAGGACTCAAAGTCTTTTTAAGCTCGGTGTGGTGGGCGCACGCCTTTAATCCCAGCACTAGGGACGCAGAGGCAGGCAGACCTCTGTGAGTTCGAGGCCAGCCTGGTCTACATAGCGAGTTCTAAGTCAGCTGGGGCTACAGGGAGACCCTGTCTCAAAAAGACCAAAAAAAAAAAAAAAAAAAACCAGCTTAATTCTTTAAAAGACACCACCCACAGCCATAGTACAAATTAGTAGTAAAACCAAGAGGCAGAACCTAGCTTAAGTAAAAATACAATTGCTATGCAAACTAAGGCCTCAGGTTAAAACTCCACTGCACACCAGACTGATTCTAACATCAAACAAAACTGGACTCAAAGGAACATTACTGCGCCAACCTTATTTCAAGCCAAAGTTCAAGTGCTTATTTTTGCATTCATGTTTGAGCTGGCTTTTCACGGTGGTTCAGCAAACCAAAGCAAGAAGTGACAGGTCAGGTCCCCACAGGAACACCCTCCACAGAGGGATTCAGGCTGAGCACTAACATGTGGGACTCTGAGGTTGTATGTTCAGTGTCTTTCAGACCTTGGGCAAAGGACAAACCTGCCCACATCTTTGCAGGTATACCCTGCAGCATTCTATGTCTGGGGGCAGTGTGTCCATTACTAACTATAGTGCTTAAGAGGGCAACATGATTCTGGTCCCAGGCAGACACTACCAGATTTCGTGCCTTAAAAGGCAGAATAAAAGTCACAGGAGTAGTGGACACATTTTTGAACCGAATTCCAATGCATTTAACCTACTGTTACAAATTTAGGCTGTCCAAATGTACAAATGTGTCTTTTGTGGAGTAGCAGACCATTGTGACCAAATGCTTGTGGGGAAAAATGCTATCAAAGGCTTCCATGTGAACTTAGTTCCCTCACATTAAAAACAAGAGACAAAGTCAGAGACTAGTAAGGAGAGATGTAAACGACCATACTCGCTTGGAGCAGATGCTACCAGGACAAAAGGCTTTGGACCAGAGCTACCAAGAGAAGCTCAGGACAGCCCTTCCACAGTGACCACTGAAGCTATTTCCTGAACATGAGTGTCTCAAAGTACAAATTAAAAGGAGCCCATTCGGTAGGGCACCTACCTTCTTCTAGGGAATCACTTCACCAGGTAACATGCATTTTTTAGTTTCCAAACTAAATATAAATCAAGTTTTCCCTCTGGTAGTGAAATAGTATTTTAAAACACAGCATTGGCATTTTAATAGGCCATACTATAAAGCTGTTGTTCAAAAGCAAACATGCAAAGCATCAAAGCAAACTCAGTGAAGGTGATGCATCCCCACACCGTGCTCAATCTCAGTACCTGCTAGACATTTCATTTCTGCTGAACAAGAAATCCAGACAGTAGAGGGGGAAAAGGAAAAAAAGTTCACAGAACACTTGATTATTTAGCAACCCAACACCTTAATTCCATTTAGCTATTCACTACTAGCTAGCGAAGCTGGGACAAAGCTGCCACATTAAAATCACTTTGATTTCAGATAACTAGAAAGGGAAACATTCTGACATTTGGAAACCATGGGTCACATTGATCCAGTTGCTTCATAAACTAGTGTCCCTGTTTACAAATGCACTGAAATCCCAGGGAACAAGATGTGCTCCCCCCTTAAGTAGTCTGTGCCCATGAGCATTAGAAGGAAAACTTCTCGGGACAAGGCCTTGAAAGCACCCAGGATCACTGAATCAATGTGGCCCTTGTGTGGTGCTAATCTATGAGCAGGAAAGTGGGTCAATCTACAGAAGACACTATGCTACACAGCTTCTCTAACATTACCTTCTGTAATCCGTAAGTGGGAAAAGAAAAAAAACACCAAGAAAGGTTATTTAGAGGAAAAACAAACCTTACAGAAAATACTATCAATCACATTTCTCGATCTTCCTTGACCCTACCTTTTTGCCAGCACCAACGTTGGCCTTTGCAGTTCCCCTGACCTTCTTCATTCTGTTCTTGCGTTCCTTCCTCTGTTTTCTGGAGGTCTTTTTCTTCTCATACAGGCCATGCTAAGAGAAAAAAGTTCACCTAGATGAACTTGTTACCAAATATTGTAGGAGGGAAACCCAGGTGGTCAGAGCACTCTGAAATACAGCTTTCCAAACCAAAACTTGTGCTGCGAACACTTTCTCACAGCTTTCCCTCTCTAGGACCCTACTGTGATAGTCAAGGGCTTTCTTTTAACCCTCATCACATCTGGAATCTTACATTTGAGCTGGATTCAAAGGGACAGGTAAAATACTGTCATAGAGGTGGGCTCAGGGCAGGAGTAAGCAGGTGAGTTAAAGAGGTAGTTGTGTGCCATATTCCATAAGGTCTTTTAGAACCAAAGTCTGGACTTATTCCAGAGGGAGCCAGGAACCTGTGCATTAACCAATCTTCTCTTCACCATTTTAGAATTCCTTGTGTTTGTTGTTCCTTCCCAGAATGCTGCGTATTGCTCACAATTCTACCGGAAAACAAAAAACCTTTAGAGCACCCAGGCCAGCCTTCAACTTGTGCTCCTGCCTCAGCCTCAGGAGTGCTGGAAATTTCAAGTGTGCACACAGAAAAAAACTCAATCATCAACAGCTAGGACGCAAACAAGATACCTACCCTGGCAAGTCTGTGTTTGGGCTCATTTTTCTTTGCATAATCCAAAGAGTCGTAAATCATGCCGAAGCCAGTCGTCTTGCCGCCACCAAAGTGAGTTCTGAATCCAAACACGAAGATGACATCGGGTGTGGTTTTGTACATTTTGGCGAGCTTTTCCCGAATTTCTGTCTTCGGTACTGTTGCCTTTCCAGGGTGAAGGACGTCGATGACCTAAAGAGGTAAAAGATCAGTACTCATTACCACACCTTCAAAATAAAGCATACCTGACCCAACTTTTGGCATGCCCACCCTTACCATTTGCTTCCTCTGAAGCAGACGGTTGGTCATGAACTTCCTGGTCCGGATAGTCACCGTATCATTCTGAAAACACACAAGTTAATAAGATTAGTAAGTAAGATTTTTCTTGTCCTCAACTTCCAGCACTTGAAACTACGCTAATTCAGTAGTCACTAGCAACGTGGCTGAGCAATTGAGACAGGTGCAGTGGCAAACTTTAAAATAAAGGCATCGCTGCCCCAAAGCCCAGTGCCAACCTCATCCACCATATGGTACAAACAAATGAACTCCAGATTTCTGTCTCTACAATTCACTTTTATCTTTACAAACTCTTATTTACTATTTTTATTTTCTGTGTATGTGTATTGCTTATACACAGTATATGCAGGCAGGTGTACCAGTGCCCACTGAAGTCAGAAGAGCACCGAATCCCTGGAACTAGAGTTAGGGAAGGTTGTTAGTGGCCATGTGGGTGCTGGGAATCAAACCTGAGGCCTCCGCAACAGCAGCCAGTGTTCTTAACCACTGAGCCACCTCTCCAGCACCCACAGTTCATTTTAAAATTATGAGCCATCACTTGAGCTTCTCCACGTGAGCACTAATGGTTTTTGCTGTGGGGACTGTTCTACATTACAATTCCTGTCGCTGGAGCACACCACGACCCCTAGCTACCTCAATCAAGAATGTCTCCAGTCTAAGCCCTTTCCTCAGGAGAGGATTTTGTCAACAGTGGCTGACAAAAGTTCGGCTCACCAGCATACTGATAATATCCTTGATACACGAGGTGGGAACTGTTGCCCTACCGAAAGGGGGAAAGAGTTGGGTGCCTCTTTGAGTGGCTCAACAACTTTTTTTTATGCAGTACCACGGAAGCTGGCCTTCAATAAGCTTCTGCTGATGAAAAAAGTAACGATTTTAAGTCCGCATGCGTTTACGACTTGATGTATAACATTCAACCTCAGCCTGAGAAGCAAGTCTAAAGTCAGCTCAATGGTACACAACCTGCTAGTGGATCTAACCAGTCCTCTGCCTGAGATGGAGATGGAGACTGGGCAGGGCCGCCTCTGGGTAGCATCCTTTCCAGGCCTTCCTTCTCCCCAGCAAGAAACAAGAATCGCACTGCGCCGCCCAATGTGCTAGCTTCCTGGAAGCTTCCACTCGCCCTGGCGCCAGCGGTCCCTGCTTCACCTCGGGCTGCCCATCCCGTTTGCGGGCCGAAAGCGAGAAGGGCCTCAGACCGCCTGTTCCCTGCCCCGAGCGCAGTTCCCCAAGGCCTGAAAGCCCAGTGGGGCTTCCGCGGTCCCCAGGCCTCGCAGCCCGCCGATCGGCGTGTCCCGAAAGTCGGCGCCGCCTCCACCTGCGTGGCCCGGACCGAGTGGCCTCGGAGGGACGTGACGGAGGAGCGCAGGAGGGCCTCGGGCGGCTGCAGCTTCACGCGCGGACCCGAAGGATCAGGGATGGTGCGGATGCGGGTCGGATGGCGGCACCGGGCTGAGGAGACTCACCATGATGGCGGTGATCACCGAGCAGCCAAGAAGGAAAAGAGGACGGCGCCTCGCCGGCCAATCATATCAACGCGCGCCGAAGGACCCCGAGCGGCGCCGGAGGGCGTGGCCACGGCTAGGGGCCGTCTGTCGTGGTGCCTGATCGAAACGTCTATCTTTAGCCCCGCCCCCAGGCGGCTGGCCCCGGGAGCTCCAAGTGATCTAAAATTCCACAAACATGTGTTCCTTCCCAGGTCTCTTGAGACTGGGTCTCCCTATTTTTCCTTTGGCTGGCCCCGAACTCACTGTGTAGACCAGGCTGCCCTGAACTCACAGAGATCCGCCTGCCCCTGCCTCCCTTGTGTTGGGATTAAAGGCTGCACCACCACGCCTGCCCCAGTGCACTCTTTGTTCTTTCTATGAAGCTCTGGATAGTTTGTTTCAATTCGGGGATAAATCATGAAGGCAGTTTAGATTTCTTAGCCTCCCCATTTTACAACCAGAAAAAGGACAGAATCCTTGATTGTTACTTCAAGTACACAACACATGAGGGGTTTTGATTTTTTTTTTTCTGATTTGTTTGGTTTTGTTGATTGGGGTTCTTTGGAACAGACTCTCTCAGTGAGGTCTTGAACTTGCAATCCTCCTTCTGTAGAACCCTGAGGCCCTCTTCATTCACCCGCTATCCCCCAATCCCTCCAGATTCCC